GAACCTGCCCGCTCTGCCCGAATCTGCCCGCCCGGCTGCCCTGCTCTGCCCCACGCGGCCACGCGTACACGGCTGCCCGCCTGCCCCACTGGCCAGTGGCCACTGCCCGAGTGCCCGCATCGAGCCCCACGCGGCCAGGCCCACGCGCGACATCGCGTCGCGCCGCGCGGTCGCGTCACTCGCGTGACGGTGAGCGCTCCGTCGCTTCGTTCTCCCGCGTCGGCGTCGCAGCTTGCATCGGGCCGCTGCACCTCTGCCGCCGCCGTTGCACCGCCACCGCTGCATCGCCTCTGCACCGCGCGGGAAATCGAAAAACCAAACCGAAGCGGGTCGGGTCGGGTTGACCCGAACCCGAAGCGGGTCGGGTGCGGGTCCGGAAAATGACCCGTTTGTGAAAACGGGTCGGGTTGACCCGAACCCGAATAGTGCCGGGTCAATTCCGGGTTCGACCCGAACCCGACCCGTGACCCGAAATTGACAGGTCTAGAACAGCTATCAGTGGTGCTCAATCATGAAATTGAATTGGCAATTTGCAATTAAACCCCTCAAACTTTATTTTATTGCTCCTTATAGTCAACATGTCATTTTATTCTCCAAAGATTTATCCTCCAACTTGTCCATGACATTCTTCCAATAGTTGTAACTCTCAAGTGATAAACTTCGTGTTTTTTGGACTATTCTATCAAACTATTTCGCAAGGTGTCAAAATGGGTCAATGAATCATAATCGTGTCAAATCTAAAATTGACCAGACCTAAATCCGGTCAACTAAAACCAGACCTTTTTTTTAATTGAATCCAAATCTGACATGCTAGCAGCTTGAACCTGACCCAATAATTTATTTTAATAAAAACAATATTTTTATTAGCTTATTAATCATAGATAATTTATCAAAAATAAATAATCATACCAATAAACAAAAGAAATTAAGAAAAAAAATATTAAACGAGTCAAAATCAGATGAAAGGGTCAATCTAAATTTGACATGTTCATAAACGGGAAAAGTCGAACCCGAATTTTTCAGATTGAGTTCGAGTAAGGCCACTTATTGACACCCCTATGTTCCACCCTCCCACCTCTATTAAAATTTTATTAACTAGAACTTATGAGCGAACTAGTATGCTCGACAAATAGTTCGATACTCGATTATATTACTTTTGCTTATATTTGCTTAGTAAGAAAACCGAAAAAAACTCGAACAAAATTTAAAAAATTTAACATATAAATGATCAAATTTGAAAATTGACATAAATTTTTAGATCTTGTTTATATAACCATTACTGTAAATGGATGGGTGCATCCAGCACATAAGAATCCCACCAATATACACTTATCCCTATAGTTCAAAGTTCTCTTCAATTCAACTAAACATTTGACATAACATCTACCCTCTAAACTTCAAATAATTACAACATTGACATAACACATAAAAGATCAAATATTTACCTTTGATGTGAGGAGCTTCATCATGAAATAAAACTGGAGATTTGGGGCAGTCTTTGGCTGTGGCCATCTTGAATTATCTGGTACAGCGATGACCTTAAATCCCTGGCTTTTGTATAATCTGGTTGCAGCAGCGTTATTTACATCGCAATGCAAAGCAATGGAGCGGCAGCCCCAGCTAAGGGCTCTGGCTTCTGCCTTTGCTATCAAAAGCTTAGCAATTCCCTTTCTCCTATCTGCGTTCCTTACCGCTACATTTGATATGTATGCTATACCAGTCCTGCACGAATTTCAAAGCAGGTGACTGCTTTAGATTTTGTTTGGGGCAGCTTTCTTACTGTTTTATAAAACGGCTTTCTTTTACAAACTTTTCTAATTCAAGAATTTTTACACTAAACAGCTGTTTAAGAAAGTAGCAAAAAAGTTGTATCAAACGAAACCTTATTATGGTAGAGGATTATAAAAACCAGGAATAAGGCTTTGTTTGGGACGGCTTTCTTACTGTTTCTTAAAGCAGCTTTCTAGTACAAAAATACTTCTTAAAAGCAGCTTTTTAGTAAAAAATTAATTTTTTTTACTAGAAAGCTGCTTTAAGAAGCAGTAAGAAAGCCGTCTCAAACAAAGCCTTATTCCTGATTTTCTTGGTAATAATTTAGACCACACCGTTCAAACACTTCTAATTCTAAATAAGATATAATTATGAATAAATTTATAATTCAAGTTAATCATATTTTAGGTTTTCAGTACTAATGTTCTCTTTTTCTACCATATTTACTGAAAAAATTTCATGCACTTTTCTCTGCATAAGTCATTAAATTTTATTTTCTTGGGATTAGTGTTGCATTTCAATGCATATGCTACCATTATTAATTATAAATAACCCTTTACGTTGTATAATCCAAATTATAGGTGGGCTCCAAATATTCAAACCCTGGTTCTAATGAGAGATTTTAAATAATACCGATGAAATTTTAAGAAGACGGATTATATTACAGATAAGACACATTTGCGATAACTTTAATATATATGGTTTCAAATTTCTCATAGTCGCAAGCTCTTATAATTAATTTTTTTTATTAATGTTAGTCTTTAGATGTTAAATACTTAACGTATAGTAGAAGTGAATTCGGATTATGATTGAAATTTTACCGTCGTGAACTTAAAGTGGATGGTGAGGGGAATGATAACGAATTCGAAGAAGATCATATGGTTTCGTCATTTCGAGTTGTCAAGATCATATGATAATGAATCTGTTGTCATTTCGAGTTTACTTTATCAAAAAAGGAGGTACAAGACCCAAACTGGTCGAATGATCCTTATAGGTAGCCATGGTTTGCATCATTTAAGAGAACCATATAGACCTTGGGTGAACATTTATTTAAGAAGACAAATTTAAATCAATCTTAGCTAACAGACTTTAGGCTCTACTAAGTACACCTCATGATTTACAACTTAGGGGTTTTTAATTCGTTACGAAACTTACAAGCTATGGTTGTCACCCTAATTTAATAATGTCACCAATTTATTATTTAAAAAATTGTCGACTTTGTTCACCTGCCAACAAAAGATTGGATTTGTCACTTATATGTCATTCAATTTCATTCAAATTGCAAAGATGCTTACAGGTCTGCATAATATTGGATTGGCGACCTTGTCCTATAGGCAAGGCGGATAGCACGAGAGTGTCATGTAATGACGAGTTTGATTTTAAAAGAAAATTTGTAAAAAATTTAGAGTGATCCGTGTTCATTTTTAGAATAGTTGTGCAGCATTCTTAGAGCAGGGTAAGTTCAAATTCAAACTTATAAAACTTAGAATGGTTAGGATTCAGAGTAGGGTAAGTTGGATTCAAAGTAGGGTAAGTTTAGAGTGATTGCAAGATCATTTTTAGAATAGTTGTGTAGCATTTTCAAAGCAAGATAAGTTTGGATTCAATCTATTTTTAATCCACGTAGCATTCTCAGACTTTGCATTTATTAATTAGCATATTTCTCATTGCGCATGCAGAAAAGTTTATTTAACAACTTGACTTTTTTATAAATGGCATGCATGCTTTTCGGTGCATTTGCATAGCTCATTTTTATGAATCACGATATATTTGCACATTTTATGATGCTCCTATATTTTGCAGTTTAATGATTGTATTTTTTATATCTACGCGTGAGAGGATGATGAGGTGAAGACTTTGCTAGGGAAAGAATGAAACACAAAAACCCTTTTTCTTTTCTTTTTTTTTTTTCTGCTTACTCTCTGTTTAGAAAAGAGAAAGAGATAGAATGAGAGGGAGAGTGAATTAGAGTGAGAGATAAGAAGGGAGGGAGAGTGAAAGTTGGAGAGAGGAAGAGAGAGAAATAGGAGGTAAAGAGAGAAAGAAAGGGGTAGAGAGAGGAAGTGAAAGAGAGAGAAAGGCAGAAAGAGGTGACTGGATGTTTCACTCAATAGCAAGTTTGGTGGTAGATTTTTGCTACAGGCGGTTGAAGAATGAGAGATGGAAGGAGAGAAGGATGGTCAGCTAAGGGTTATGGTGTGGCTCACAAATGAAAGAGGAGGATAGTTGAGATTTCATTTACAAAATTTTCATTCGCACATCTTAAATTTATGTTTATCGCCTCGTATGCATTTACATAATTTTTTCGAACGGAGATCGGGGGAAAATGGGTGCCTACTGCCTATCCTAGGTAATTTTGACATTTTAGACGAGTCGGTGCATTTTGTTTCATGAACAAATTACATTCGAGAGATTTTCATTGTGATCGAAGTATTTTTTTAATTTGACTTGCACGACGTCGCATCCATTGTCTACCATTTCCATTATGTTCGGCTGAATTGGATGTAAGAGTTCACTCCTTATAAATTCGACGATCTGAATGCTTCAGTGTCATACATTTTGTGAACAGGAGACTTTCAAGTGATTTTAATCATGGTGGGAGATTTTTGAAGGAGTTTCGCATAGCACTATGTTTGTCGTTCGTCATTTTTATCGCTTTCAATCTACAAGGATTTTGGTATAGATATGGAGGTCAACAACAAACATTGCTTAAATAGTCCAATATATTTACTCCACTAAGATTTTGCAAAGAAAAAAAAAACAAGGAATGATTGAGCAAACGAAACAAGATTCATAGCTCCATTATCATCCATCCGCCCGATTTCCTGCTTCTAAACTCATTTTTTTCATAAAGATGATAAAAAAGGTTTGGATGAAAGATGAATATAAAAAATATATTTGAGAAAGTAGCTTCAAGGTGGAAGCAAAAAGATAGTGAGCCGGTTTACAAACAGAAGTGTTTACCATTTAGTGCTAATAATCTAATGAAATGAAACCTTGTCATTAACTAATTAAAGAAATGTGCAACGGTTATTCTATACGTTTATATGATTCTGGCTACAGAGCTACACGGCAGAGTGCTCATGCACTTTAAGAGTACGTAGAAAATAAGTTATACTAGACATTTTTCAAGGTTCTGCTTGCTTAATATTCTATGGGTAATACGTGCAGATGGATAGGTTTTAACGCAACTTACAGCATGCGAATGCATTTATACAAATTAAGAAATATAAGAAAACTCCATAGATTCAAAAACTAAGCTGAGCACAACAAATGATACTGACCTTTTTTGCCTGAGCGGACCTTTTCTAGGAAGGTAATCAGCCAGAGTATCTACAGTGAGAATACCAGCTACAGATTCCCTGCTGAGATTAAATTTCCCATCAAATCCACCAAATTTGAAGTCTTTACTTCCAATGTATAAATTATCAGTTCCAGAAGCACCAGTAACAGCAACAAGACATGTCCGCCTGGAACCTGGAGGTACTGAGAAGCCAGAAAGCAGAGCTATGAATCTGTCAATCCGTAGGACCAGATCTATGGGAAAGGTATAATTTGGAAAAAAAGAGCTACAGTGTGTATCAGCCACTTCCCAGCAATCCTCCACCCGAGCATCTCTAACAACAATCTCAGGGCAGATTGAAGGGAACAAGTCAACAGCTTGACTAGCCCTGCAAGTCCCTATATAGGAAATCAGATAATTGAAATGAGTAAGAGCTTGTACACAAAAGTTTCAATTAATTATAGGCGTTAATTTTTGTGTTTTGCTCTAACTGGACAGAAATTGAATGTCCGCAGTATTTTCGAGCATCCAAAATTAAAAATATCACACAAAAATGGTTTTGATACAAATATTTCAACGGATTCATCAGCCGTGCAATTGACAACTGGATTACTAGTTTGAAGATATGCTTAACAAATAAAGTAATGTTGTACTTAACATGTTGAAATCCAGCCGTTCCCAATGCAAAGGATCCAACGGTCACAGAAAGCAATCCATGGGAGGCTCTCATGGATCATGCCATAACGAAGGAACTAATTTAGGAAAAAATGAATTAGGAATTTTATGTATTAAATTTGTAATTTGTTGTTTCCTCATTAAGATATCTTGTATAGATCTATAAATAGGGAAGATATTACATAATAAAGCTAAGCTTTTCCCTCTCAAACATACTGTTTTAACATAACATATGCTAATCATTGGCTACGATGAATTCCCTATTTTTATCTGAAGTCATCCAAAAAAATTTAGAATTAATCATAGGATTCATTTGCGAATATGAATTAAATAGACAACATTGCAAAAGTTGTAATTTAATTCAAAAATAATTTGGAGAGAATCAAGGAAACAACCAAAATTCATTCCATAAATTCTTCACCTTATCCTTAAGGGTTAACCACCCTGGGAGAAATATGAGGGAACATTCCTTTGATTTAAGCTCCGGTTATCTTAATTCCATATTTTAAGCATTGAGATAATTTTAATTGATATTTATCAACATTCTAATGTCATAAAGGCAGCAAATAGGCCTTTATGTAACCTCAAATAATAAGAATTATATTTGGATAAAGTTTGAAATCTTCTCTCCTCAAATTCCACATGTAAATTTCCTCCCCAATATTGGGTCTAGGCTATTACCAGAGCCTCTGTCTCTATAACCTCTCCAAGGCACAATCAAACTGCCTTGGAATAAATCCCATGGTAGCCCTTTCATGACTACAATAATGGATGTCATTGGAGCTCTTACGATAAAGGTGGCCACAATCATTTGCTCCACCATCGTCTATTCAAATAAAAGGAGAGACATCCACTAAGAAACAACCTATAAAAGAGAATCCATCAACAAACAAAGAAGCATAAACAAGTACAAAAAGGAAAGGAAAAAAAAAATCATCCCTTCGAGATAGATATAATCTTGGAGTTTCTTTAGTTCGATGAAACAATTAAAGCTAAGATAATAGATAATTGGTTTGACCTTCTAGAAAAAAATTTCATGGTTTCATTGCATGATTATCCTGATTGAATGAAAATTGCTCTGGTTTATTTCACAAGCTTTAATGTGGTGGAATTCTTAATCTAAAAATTATGATATGTCAACCATGATGTGGTCCCAATTAAAAAATTATCAGAAGCTCAATTTTATGCCCATTAGACACAGAAGAAAAGTGAATATGATAACAGAATTTAAACAGGAGAGTATAACGTATAAAAATACTCAATGGAATTTTAAAGATAAGAAATTGCTTTAGAAATTTTGTTACATAAAAAATATATACACATGAAATATGAATGGGATCATGGGCCTCCAAACAGAATTAAGATTTTTCCAGTTGTTTCATGTCCTTCAAGCTAGCATTGAAGTCATTGCGCTTGGGAAAAAATCACTTTCTATTGATCAAAAAGCTTAGTACAGTTGTAAATACAAAATAGAAGTATAAAGTACAACTACATAGGAGCACTCTAAAAGAAATATGCAATGTAAGGAATCTAAGAAAGCAATATGTGATGCAAAGATCTTAGCTTTTAATTATTTATATAATAAATTAGATATTAGGAAGGAGAAAGATATACATATAAGTAAGCCAAACAAAAAGATAGTAGTAAGGATTTAGTTCAAGTGAAGTGTATTAAGTATGGAAATCAAAAAATACTTTTCTTAAAAGATGACATTCAACAAAGATGGATGAGATATTTTACTAAACTTTTTAATGAAAAATGTGAAAATACGATTGACTTTAGTCACCTTAGCACATTAAATGAAAATAAAAATTTATATTTTTATCGAAGTATTAGTAAAACCGAAGTTAAAGAGGCTTTAAGGAAAATGAAGGGTGAAAAAACTGTTGGACCTAATGATATTCAAATAGAGGTGTGGAAATGCTAAGGAGATATGGAATTTATTGGCTTGCTAAACTTTTTAATATTGTTTTGAAGACTAAAAAGATGTCAAATGAGTGGAGAATTAGTGTGTTAATTCATATTTTTAAGAATAAAGGTGATGCACAAGATTGTGCGAATTATAGAGCAATTAAGTTAATGTGTCATACTTTAAGACTATGGGAGCGAGTTATGGAGCAAAGGTTGCAGCATGATATTAATATTTCTCAAAATCAATTTGGATTCATGCTGGGTAGGTCTACTATGGAAGCCATACATTTATTGAGAGGTTTGATGGAGAATTATAGAGAGAATAATGAGGATCTACATATGATATTTATATATTTAAAGAAAGCATATGATAAAGTTCCAAGAGAAGTGCTATGGAGAGTTCTTGAAAAGGAAGGAGTTCATAACGCTTATATTTAAATCATTAAAGATATGTATGGAAGAGCTATTACTTGTGTTCAAACACAAAGTGGTTTAACCAAGTATTTTCCTATTTTGGTTGGATTACATCAAGGATCAGCCTTAAGCCCATATCTTTTTGCTTTAGTCATGGATGTTCTCACTAGACATTTGCAAGAGGATGTACCTTGATGTATGCTTTTTGCTGATGATATTCTTCTTATTGATAAGACTAGAGAGGGAGTTGAAGGTAAACTTGAATTAGAATGTCAACCTTAGAGCCTAAAGGTTTTTGCTTGAGTGAATCTAAAACAAAATATATAGAGTGTAATTTTAGTAGTAATAGGCCTAATGAGGGCATTGTGATTTTGGGTGATCAAGCCATTAATAAGAGTATATGTTTTAGATATCTTGGATCTATTATTCAGAGTGATGGTTAAATAGATAGGGATATTCTCAGCAGAATTCAAGTTGGATGGTTAAAGTGTAGGAATGCACTGGGCTTATTGTGTGATAGAGAAGTCCCCCTCAAACTTAAGGAAAAATTCTATAAGAGGGTGGTGAGACCTGCAATGCTTTATGGTGCCAAATGTTGACCATTAAAAGAGAAGCATAATACTAAGTTAAGTGTTGCAGAGATGAGGATGCTCAGGTGAATGAGTGGCTTTACCCTTAGAGATATGATACGAAATGAGCATATACGTGAAAAGGTTGGAGTAGCTCCAATGGAAGATAAGATTAGAGAGAGTTGCCTTTAGATGGTTTGGTCACATAAAACAGCGGCTTTCCGATGACCCGATTAGGAAAGTAGATGCATTAGATTTAACTTATGTTAAGAAAAGTAGAGGCAGACCTAAAAAAACTTTGTTAGAAAATATTAGAAATGATCTTTCTTTATTAGATTTAAACGATAATTTGACTTTTAACAGGACAATGGAGAAAAAAGATTCATGGAGAAGACCCCACGTAGTGGGACAAAGGCTTGATGTTGTTGTTATTTGATACCAAGAACTTCGCAGAGGCATAGTAAGGGGTATGTCGACCTACTTTCTCATCAAATGAGCTGTAGGGTGTGAATGGATGATAATGGAGGCGCCAGTTTACGACAACCCAACTATAGGGAGCTGAAGTTGTTCTTTTGACCAATGATCGAAGTGCTAGGTGCTCTGATGTGTTATGGTTAATAGATATTTTAGAATATAGACTCCATCAAAGGCACTCATCTAAACAAAGTAAGGCTTTGAAAAGGAAACAAAAAATGTCATCATTAGATAAATTTATCTTAACTATAGGGAAAATTTAAAGGGGATAAAACAATGATTTAAAAGCTTAATTACACTCTTGGATCTACAATGTTTCCTATATACATCTTAATCAAGATAATCAGAAGACATGTTTAAGAAACTTAAATATTGAAGCAACTTAAGTTTTGTAGCATGCATAGCCTAGATTTGTTCTAATTATCACTATTATCTTTTCCATTTTCAACACCATCCATGTCTTCTTCTCCAACACTAGATTTTTACCCTCCATCTCTTGCCTCCTCGAACAAATCATATTCTTCCTTGAAGCTTATTATTCTAAAACATGAAGCACTTGCACCTACATTTGATATGTCTTGTTTTCAAGGTCTCCATTATTGTTTCTCCAACTCTTAATATCATTTCAATATATTCATGTACAAAATTATCATTACCAATAGCAAACTTATCTTCTAAAATTGATGAATAATGCTATATGTTTATCTCGTTGCTTGACGCCTTAACGCAATGCAATTGCATGGGCGGTGCTTTAATTATGGTGCATGATGCCCTCCTAGGAGGCATGTGAGACAAGATGGCCTCACCCGGCCTCAATTGGTCACCTAGTAGAGCGCTTAGTGCATAATGGCACTGCTATATATATATATATATATAAGAATGCAAAGACATGGCAGAAATATTGAGCAGAAGAATCAAAGAGAAAATATCAGACCTTAGCACAACTATTCTGCCTGAGATGCCACAAATCTAGAATCCAACTGACAATAATCTTTTCTAGAGAAACATAGCAAATGCAACTGTATCCACATATGATTTACCATAATCAAAGCCAGTATCCGCATGTGATAGACCATAATCAAAGTCAGTCACATGTGTATACTCAAAAGCAAGTCTAGTTTCGGTAACTTGAGGGACTATAGCAATTAAGATTCAAATTCGAAGGAACGGGCGGCAAGAAAACAATACAACTCAAAAGGCTTACAATACCAGAGGTGGACAAAGAGATAAGGAGAGAAGAGAAGAAGGATCGTATAAATTGCTCTTACCAGCTCGTGAGTTGATCCCAGTGTCAGATGACTGCGGAGGCAGTACTCCTCGGCCGCACTTTTGAAATAACTTAACCCTAGCCAGAGATTTAGGTGCTGATCTGATGGGCGTATTGGCAGCTATCGAAGAAGAAGAAGATGGAGAAGGGCGGGGAGAAGGCGAGGGTGAAAGACCCAATGGAACAACAGTCCGCATACTGGGAGCTTCCTCTCGCTGCTCTATTTCGCCTGCAGCTCACAGTTCACGGGACTTCATTTCTGAACCATATAACAGCTTACCAGACCAGTAGACGGGTCGGGCCGAGAAAAGACAAATGATTACCCATAAATTTTGGGGTAGGGAGTGTGAAACTAAGGGGCAAATTATTGCATCCGGTCTTTCTCTGTCTACAGTAAAGCGCAGGTGAAGCGCATGTATGCTACATTACCTGTGCTTTCACTGTAGACAGAGAGAGCTCCGAACGCATCTCTCTGTCAGGTGACCGGATGCAATAATTTGCCGAAACTAAGAACTACTTTTGCCATTTTTTCACTATCATTAAACAAAAAAAAAACTAGAGGTTGAACGAGTCTCTAAATTCTTTATCTCTGGATGATGTCTTTTGAAATTTGAAAAATTATTCTTTGCAAGTATTGGATTATTTGGAGGTGAATCAGAGTGTGTCACGTCACTGGTATACAACGGGTATATAACCGCGGTACACAACAAAGAGATGAAGTGACGTGCTCTTATTCGTCTCCAGATGACATCCAATGTCCGCACAGAATAATTTTTTTCTAAAATTTACCTCCTTGGAATATTTTGAAATGGCCAGATTTCTTCTTTTTTGAAAAAAAATTATTTATTTTGCAAAAATGGTCCATGAATTTTAGAACAAAATTTGATTATTAGTTTACTTAAATTTTACTATGAATCAAAATCTGTGGAATCTCCCTCTTAAGCTTTAGAATTATGCCGGCATTTCACAACTAGCCAGTTATATCTGCTAGTTTCTTGCCATAGATGCCGTAATTGCAGACAAAACTAGATTACCTTTTGCTAGTATTTATGTTCAAATTGACTACAAATTAACACTTTTCGATGTAATTCCCATCTATGTTGTCGGGAAAAAATAAAAACTCGATGATCTCAATGATTCAAATTTTTTGATGTGAAACTCCTTAAGTAAAAGAAGTTAAATTCTTAAAAATTGAGGCATATTTTGGTGTAATGGTTAGAATTTCATTAAAAAACTCAGCAGTTAAGGGTTTTCATCCTGAAGAAATCTTGAGATGGATGACATATGTGAGGCCCTTATACCAAAATAGATAATATCTCAATAGTTAAGAGTTTTGGCTGTTACAAATTGTATCAGAGCAATACACCAGTCGGAAGATTGGAATTAAATGTCATACAAAACAATGTGTTACGTCATGAGAGCCACCTCTTAAATCATGTATGGGTTAAAGTTCTACCTAGCATGAGCCACCACTTGAACTTGTAGGGGCCACCTCTAGAATCATAAATGTATGGTGGATGATTCTGGGATAAAGATGTTGACGAAGACATTAGTTAATTAAGTGGGGGAGATTATGAAATACCTTAAGTAAAAGAAGCTAAACTCTTAAGCATCAAGACGTCTTTTAGTGTGATGATCAAAATTTCATTAAGAAACTCCATAGTTAAGCATGCTCATCCCGAAAAAATCCTACGATGGGTGAACTCCTAAAAAGTTACACCAACAAAACAAACTATTGAGGTCCTTAGGTGAAAACGAACAATATATCAATAGTTAAAGTGTTTGGATTATTACAATTGTCATATCTCGATTGTGGTTCCTTCATCCATCCTCTAATCTTTGTCCTACCGACCCAACTTAGTCTTCTCTTTCCCCCGTACCCCCACATGGTCGTATTCATGGTAGAAAGCCCAAAAAGAAACTGGATAGCCCAACATCCTTATAGCAAGCTTCTTCCTCTAACACTCCCTTTACCAACCCCAATAATAATTCACCCTCTCATATTGAAAAGCCAAACCCTTCCAAAATTCTTCTTGATCCACTACTTGCAACACATCTTCAATAAAACTAAATTAGCCTGTTAAGGAACCATTGACTAATACAACCTTAACCCTTGCTACTAATAAAAATCCCAATAAATTCTCCGTCCTCAACTCTATTGACATAATCAGCTAATCAAACCTCATTGGTCATTATCCTAACTCTTAAGTAAACCTCCAAGTAGTTAAAAAAACATCTTACCCTACGAAAGCCAAGAAATTTGCCACCAAATCTAATAAAGCCCAATGAAATCTCTTTTATTTGACTCTTGGAATGTAAGAAACTTCAATTGACTTGATAAAGTCCTCATTTGCAAGGCATTATTCAATCCCTCAAACTTGACTTTCTTTGCATCTTAGAAATAATGATGAATAAAACCCAAATGTCTAATATATGATTTTGTAATACACACAAAACTTTTGATAATGAATATATCTTTCAAAACTTTGACACTTCTCAACCTAGCCATATTTGGTTGAAATAGAATGAGGTTGTATATGCCCATCTACTTTGATAATAAGATTATTCATGGTCATGTTCTTCGCTCTTCTACTTCCCCTTTTATGATTTCTATGGTTTATGCTTCCAATTACTCTCATCAAAGGACATCTCTCTCAAACTATAAAAAACTCTACAAGTTTACAACCAAAGATTTGGCCATTTTGGGAGATTTTAACTGTTGCAGAAAAAATTGGTTGCAACCTTATTCCTCAATGACTTCAATAACATGATATTTAACATTGTTGTCAAATATTTGGCTTCTATGGATCTCTCTTATACTTAGTTTAACAATAAACTAAATAATCTCATGAATACTAAATTGGATTGAGTTATTCTGAATGATGTCTTGTTGTAAGCCTTCCCATTATCCTACTATAGAATTGAAGCTCCTAAATGCTTTGATTACACTCCCTTAATTGTTCAAGTCATCCATCAATATATAAATAACCATAGATTTTTCTATAAAAACTAATGGTCCTAAGTTCCATAATAATTGGATATTATGAATATTGTTTTCTATCAAAGTAACAAAAGAGACTCCATTACAACTTTATACTCCTATCTTTTCCAACTCAAATCCTTAATTAAAAAAGAAAAATGGGCTTCTTCCTACACATTCTATCCAACAATAAAAAGCTTAAGAGTAAACATGCTTCTATTATCTCAATGCCCAATGAAGACCCGCCAACCCTACCATTTAATGCCTTTACCAAAGTCATTGGGGATTCTCCTTCAATCTCTAATACCACCTAGTCTTCTTGGATTGTTCAAATGGTTCTCCCAAGGGGAGGAAAACCTCAAACTCTTATATGGGAATATCAAGGGTAGGAAAAAGCACAAATATATTAGGAAAAGTATCACCTCTATTGGTATCTTCTATAATTATCATAATATTGTAGATGTGGCCGTCAACCAATTTAAGGATATATTCAAAGCTCCTAAACCTTCTTTTAATGTTGTCCCTGCCTACTCTTGTTGGTAATAAATTTCCCTTCATCTTATGTCTTTACTTCCAGAACATGTATCTAATGAAGAAATACAAAAAATGGTGTTCTTCTCCTCCAAAAACTCAACTAAAAAACTTAATGGATTCACTTTTAGCTTCTTATATAGCTCTTGGGATCTCATTGGGTCTCAAGTTTATCACGATGTAAAACATTTTTTACAGAGAGTCATACGATGATTTAGACCCTCATGTACTCATGCAGCACATTATAGCATATGTTTTGTAGATGATTGGGTGCATCCTCATACCAGATTGCTCAGGCTCGCATGCATCATTACAACACCTCCCACTTATGAAAGATTTGATGGTGTTTATTCAGATCTCATTGGGTAGTTCGGTCCTAAAAAACCTATAAATAGAGCTCTATCTTGCCGTAAAGCCCGCTAAATTGTATATTATTTAATGATTTCTTCTAATGTAGGTTTGGTCAAGGGAGCGACTACATGTTGGTAGATTGACACTTAGAGTGCCCACTTTCTCAGATATTGCGAGAAAACCTATTGGTTATTGATATAGTTTGTTATAAATTTTACATAAATTGTATTTTATTCACCATTCATTTTCAATAATTAAACATCATTTTATATATAGGTGGGCTGAGGATGGTTTGCGCAAGGTTTCATTTGGAAACCTATTGACTTATCGAGACGACTAGATGTACTTCATTAGAGTCATGTAGTTGATAATTCATAAATTACAAGCATGTGTTATTTTTTGACATTAATTCTCATTCAACCTAAACCTTTTTCAACAGGATACTATGACACCATATACCGAAGAACTTATTGTGAAGATGCCTCTTATATGCCAGGAGTCACTAGAGATATACAGAGCACAACTCCCATTAATTAGTTAGAAGAAGGTTGAGTGGCATATGGTATATCGGGTGATGCGTCAGTTTGGTGGTGTATAGTCCATGGATATACAGCCCATCAAAATAATCTTTAAGTGAGTTTATAGGCGTGGTAGAGCTAATATTGACTAGACACGATATAACTTGAATCACATAACTCTATGGAATAATAGACACGAAGACATCATTCTAATTATTCCATAGACAATCATATACATGAGATAGTATCGATCGTGGACTTCACTATACATATTGAATGTTCCAAGTCTCCAAGTGAACGGGTGATGGTTAGTAAGGTTGCTTATACACATGTTTTTGCATTTTAAGTTATTTGATTACACATAATTTAAAGTAACATTGCAACGTGTATAAATAGGCTGATTATATCAGACGTAGCATGCATATTACAAAACTATTCGCCAGTTACGACCATAGGAAAAGTGCAAGTTTGATGCAACATGCACTTAATAATATTGATGAGCTGTATTCCAGGCTAGAGGCTTGTTTTTTATTGATTGCAACTTAGTTGATTCCACTGAGGAGCATGGGAGACAATGACCTAGTAGAGGATGTGATGAGGCTCATATGTCAAGGTGGTATACATCAGATGCTCCATCAAGGATGATAGGAGACAACAGTCAGACAAGAGCGACATATGAACCACTGAGATAGTCAATGTATGGACTCTGGAGAGTTCACCGTGCCATCATAGTTTGATGCATGATTTCTTATCATGATGGGTGAGGCAAGGGTCATCAGAGGCACAACCATTAACACAATATTAGAATCAATATGGCTTGCAACATGAAGTAGTGCTTCTGCATACCAGCTAGATACTCAATTATCACAAGAAGCTCTGCTACA